ATCATCATCATCATCATCATCATCATCATCATCATCATCATCATCATTATCAGCATCATCATCATGAACATCATCATCCGCATTAGCATCAGCATCGGCATCACCATCGCAATCACCATGGCCACCAACAATAACATCATCAGCAGCAGCAGCATCATCATCAGCACAATCGTCAGCATCGTCGTCCGCACCATCAACAACAGTATCATCAGCATCAGCACCATCATTATCATCAGCAGCAGCATCATCAACAGCGTCGTCATCATCATCGTCGCCGTCGTTTTTATCACCACCAGCATTATCAACATATTAATAGTCGTAGCAATTTGCATCCTCATCCCCATCATCAGCATTATGACCAGCACATCATCACTATCAGGCTCACCAGCGTTATCGTCATTATCAGCATCGTCGTCGTCACCATCAACATCAGCATTCTCAACATACCCATATTCAGCTCCATCCCCATGCATCCATTCATCCATCCATGCGTCCAACTTGTCCACATGCTCCCTGCGCCTCATGAGTACATCCTCTGTATCGCACCGCTTGACGCGTCCGTGCGCCGGTCTTGGCGTTTCGCTGAATATCCCAGTGGCCTGTACAATCATACATTGTCGCACGCATTGTAATTCGCATGGAGAATGCAAGGCAGCTCCTTTTCCAAATGGAACTCTCGCCTGAACGACAGATCCACAGGGTGCTCGTAGTTCCAAGGGGCGCTTCTTGAAATGAAAGGAAACGCTTGTAGGGCCTTGTGAGGTGGGAATTTGAGACGGGATGGCAAATTTCGCAGTATCGTTGAGACATCTTGGGCTTACTCAGGGCCTCCTCCTCCTCCTGTTCGGCCTGCTCCTCCTTCCCCACCTGGGGTTCGTCCCCTGCCTTACTCCGCTCCCCCACTTCTCCGTTGACAGACCGAGGGCGCAGGGGGGGAGGGGGAAGCGCTGGGGGCGAGTGGGAACGGGGAGGGGAGAGAGGGGGGGGGGACGGAGAAGGGGACGGAGGGAGGCGGTGGGGAAAGGAGGGAGGAGAAGGAGGAGGGCGACGAGGAGTGGGAGGAGCAGGACGAGGGGGGGAGGAGGAGGAGGAAGAGGAGCAGGAAGAGGAGGAGAGGAGGAGGAGGAGAAGAGGAGCAGTAAGAGGAGGAGGATGAGGAGGAGGAGGAGGAGGGAGGAGGACGGGGGCACGAGGAGGACGAGCAGGAGGAAGGCAGGGAAGGGGGCAGGGAGGGGAGAGGGAGCACGGACTGTGGTTGGTTGGTTGGGCACTGCATCTCGGATGAGTTGGGGAAGCACCCCCGCAGGACAAGGTTCGATGATCACCTCCCATCTGTTGCAATCGGCAGGCTGCGGAACGGGCGAAGGACCAGCAGGTTGCTGCCAGGCTGGGAGCGGGGAACCGAAAGTGGAAAACCGAAGGAGGACGAGCGCGAGAAAACCATGGATTCACAACTGCCTGTCCTCACGTGCGAAAGAGTTCGGACTCAAAGGCAGCAACATCTGAGCATGCAAACCAAAAACGAGAACACAAAGCGACGATTATGGAAAGCACGCACATCATCTTATAGAAGCCGTGTCTTGCGATCGATCGGAAGAAACCTGATGCAATACCAGGCGACGCAACTTCCAGCAACTGTATTCCAATGGTTTCGAGCATGCCTGAAACTTCGAAGACAAACGCATCATTCTGCAAGTGTGAATGCCAGGTAAGAGGTACCCTCCACGTCTCCGCGGCGATTGTCTGCACTATCTGAGGCACCACTTGGCAAGGCCATGGATCACGAATGTACTGCTTGCGATAGCGGACCAAAACATCCCCCACATCTACCATGTGATGTTCGATCTCTCTGAGAATCTGGGGCGCCTCCTTTCTGACGGCAGGAGTGTCCGTCGCCCTGCTGGCCCACTCACGCTGCGAAGCGAGAGTGGCTCGCATCTCCTCCCCTGCGTGCGTAAGGCGCACGACTTTCGCTGCAGTTCTATCCATACCATCTGTCGCAATCTATGTGAGGAAAGGGACAATGCATTGCATATGATTCCCACACTCTGGGCTACGACGGACCAGCTGGGCAATCAGAACGAAATCACTCTTTTCGGCAGCAGCGCAAGATGTATCCAAGGGTTCGTCCACATAGTCGTGCAAGTTCCTGAAAGGAGGTGATGGTTTCCGAGACAGTCAGGATCCCACAGAGGGAACCAAGAACCAAGGCCTGCGGCGCGCTACAACGTCCTCCCCCTCGTGAATACTCGAATCTGCACCAAGACCAAAATCAGAAACATCATTGGTGAGATATTCTTGCTTGGCCTCAGCACCGCCAGGCGTCGGGAACAATTCGAAAACACCTTCGTCACTTGCAAGACGAGACGAAACAGGAGCACACTCATGTAGACTTTCCCAGCGACCGCATAGGGATGGCAAGTCAACAGCATCGATATGTTTGCAGTGCTCCTGGCAATACGCTCAGAAACCTCCAAGTTGTTGGTACAAGGCTGAAGTAGTCGTCACCGTAGAGACTGCGCTTTCTGTACCCGCGGGCGTGGGAACGTGGGAACGAACTCGATTGCGTCTGGGTTTAATGTGCTTCTCTCGGGTCCTGCAGGAATCAACTCATCCAGCACCACACGCGGCCGACGCAACATCTCTGAATTGTTCATCTCAAGCAGTTTTTCCAGATTGATTGTCCGGTAAAACAATTCCTTTGGGACCTTTCGCATCCAGGCGACGTCATGTGGCATGCTGGAACGATGGGCTGAAGATACAGTCAGTAAGAAGATGGCTGGCAACTCGCTTCAGAAAATGGCAAGAACTGTGGGGAGGCGGAGGGCGAACGGAGGAGCGAGAGGCAGGACGCCGACGAGGCCCGAGGATCGCGAACCGACGACGAAACCGAGCCGTCCCAGTCCAGGGGAAGGCCAGTCGAGACACCAGCGGCTCTCCCGCCCCGCCCAAGTCCGCCCAGAACCTGCTGTGGCAACTCGTGGGAGCCTCCCTTACCACCTCGTTGGCTCGTGCGAATCGGCACTGATCGACACCAGTCAACGCGAATCGACGCTCATCGGCGCTTGCGCATCGATTACCAAACGCTAGCGCACGCAAATGTATCCTAACAGTGAAGTTGCAAGGACACAAACAGCTCCCATGCTTTGCTACCCCACAAGAGCTCCGCCCCTGGACCCCTCCCAGGGTCCATCCCGGCTTGTCCTTCGAGGCGTGGCCACCCGTGGCGACGAAAAGCGCCGAGGAGGGCAGCCGTTGTCTCGACTGCCCCTCCTCCTGGCCATCGCTCGGACACGTCCGAGCGATGCCAAGCCTCCGAGCAGTGCCTCCTGGGCGTCCGACCAGGCACTCTTTGGTAATCCCCAAACGTGGTGGTGACAACACCTGGCGGTGAGTCTCGGGCGATTTGGTGTCACCACCCGGTTTGGGGACTCATGCGCTTGTTCGAGGATGTCCCGAACGCTGGTGGGCCCAGGAGTCACAAGACCCGGCGGTGAGCCCGCGTCCCAAAACCCGGGCGTGACTTTTTGGGGATTCCAGGTCGCCACCTGGTATCTCACCACCCGGTTTGGGGGTTCCCAAGGACCCCTTCCCCGGGGCAGCCTGTCGCCCCGGATCCGCGCTTGCTGGCGACGGGGCCCATCCGCGGGCACCGGAGGCCGAGATCTCGAGGAGACAGGCGCCCAGATTCACCGCGGGGCGCCAGCTGCGGTGCCTCCTCCTCCTCCTCCTCCTCCTCCCCCTCCTCCCCCTCCTCCTCCTTCTCCTCCTCCTCCTCCTCCGGGGACCGAGTCGGAGAGGCAGCAGGCTCACGGCAGCGAGCGTGAGCCTGCGGCCGCCGCGCCGGCCAGGCGGGTGGCCCCTCGCGGCAGCCGTGCTGCACGGGGGGCTGAAACGAACAGCTCATCTGAGCCTCGCGCGGCGTGAGCTGGGCCTCGAGCAGCCGCTCGGGGCGACCTGGGCACCCTCGGAACGCTGCTGGCGAGGCGCAGCTGCACGAAAGCACCCCCAGGGCCGGGAAACCTCTGCTCGGATCTCAGGGACACCTCCGAGCATCGACCGACTCACCCCACCTAGAGGAAGAAATCGCTGCACGATCACAAACCGTCCGAGGTCCGCGCGAATTTCTTAGACCTGCGCTGGGCCCCCTCCCTAGCGCACGAAGCGCACCAGGGGCGGCGCTGGGGAGGCCCACCGAAGATCCAAGAAATCCGCACGGAGCCCCGATGAGTTCTGCTCGTGTTGTGTCTCTTCTTCCAGCCCCAGGGCCTCGACCGACCATCCCCAACAGCCAACGATCACTGGACGAACGGGAGGAAGGAGGGGGAGGGAGAGGAGGAGGAAGAGGAGCAGCAGGAGGAGAAGGAGGAGGACGAGGAGGAGGAGGAGGAGGAGGAGGGGAAGGAGGAGGAGGAGGAGGAGGAGGGAGAAGGGAGGAGGAGGAGGAGGAGGAATAAGAGGAGGAAAAGGATGAGGAGGAGGAGGAGGAGGAAGGTGGAAGAGGGAGATCTCGCCCTCCCAACGGACGGCGCACCGCCGGGGCATCCCGCCGCGGGGCACACAACCACGGGGCAGACCACCGCGGGCGCGCGCGGGCGCGCGCGCGAGCGGTGGGCACTGCGCTCCGGGGTGCGGGCACTGGCCGCGGTTCTGGCGCCTCCGCGGTCCTCCTGGATCCTCTTCGATCCTCCCCCTGCTCCTGCTGCTGCTCCTGCTCCTGCTCCTGCTCCTGGTCCTGCTCCTGCTGCTGCTCCTCCTCCTCCTCCTCCTCCTCCTCCTCCTCCTCCGCCTCCTCCTCCGCCTCGTCATTATCCTCCTCATCCTCCTCCTCCTCGTTCTACAATTGTGGCGTTACTCTTCTTCCTTCTCCTCCTCCTCCTCCTCCTCCTCCTCCTCCTCCTCCTCCTCCTCCTCCTCCTCCTCCTGCTCTTTCTCCTCCTCGTCCTCCGCCTCCTCCTCCACGTACTCCTCCGCCTCCTCTTCCTCCTCCCAGTCCACGCTCAGGGCACGGCGTACTGGGAGCAGAACATCTGCAGCGTGGCCTGGGGCGGTGGCGGCGTTCGGACAGGGCGTGGTGCGACGCGGCCGACGCGCCGAGCCGAGCGCACGACGCGTACTCTAGAGAGATGAGGGAGGATCGATGATCGGCATGTTTTACAATTCGGCCCTGTGGGGGCCTCCAGGGGCCTCCAGCCCCAGAGGTTTCCGAATGTCCCCCGCAAGTATCTGGATGCCCCCACTCAGCCTCCAGAGGTCCCCGCGGGCCCCAAAAAGCGTGGAGAACGATGAGAAATGGGGAGCAGGAAGAGGAGGAGGAGGAGGAGGAGGAGGAGAAGGAGGAGGAGGAGGAGGACGACGACGACGAGGAGGAGGAGAGAAGATGAAGGAGGAGGAGGAGGAGGAGGAGGAGCGCCAGTACCATTGCAGGACGAGGAGGACAGCTCATTGGACAGCTGGTCAGCTCAAAAGCCTCCCCTCCAATCAGAAGAGGCTATGCAGAGTACAGAACGACTTGCACTTTTCACCTCGCGAGTTTCTCCAGGAAAACTGTGCACGTGGATGCGGGCAGTTTCACACCTTCAGCAAATTCTGGTTGCGTGACTTCCGAAACCCAAACACGCAAACGTAACCCGCAGACGTAATGAAGGACCCCCCGGGCTGATCAGCAGCACCACACCAGTGTTGAAAAATTCTGGGGGGGGGATTATTTGCCGAAAAATTAGCACCGTTCCCAACAGCAAAACAACAAAACTTCACGGATTGAGGACGGCTCGTTTTCAAAATGTGGCTCTAGCCTTAGCATCGCGCACATCATGTTGAAAACGTCGCAAGAGCTTCACGGATTGAGGGCGGCTAGTCTTCAAAATGTGGTTCTCGCCTTAGCACCGCGCACATTCGTATTAACAATTTGCCAAAGCTTCACGGATTGAGGCCGGCTCGTTTTCAAAATGTGGCTCTCACCTCAGCACCGCGCACATTCGTATTAACACTTTGTACGACCTTCACGGATTGAGGGCGGCTCGTTTTCAAAATGTGGTCGCCTTAGCGCCGCGCACTTTCGTCTTGAAATTTTCGCAAAACTTTCACGAATTGAGGGCGGTTCGCTTTCAAAATGTACCTCTCGCCTGTGCGCCGCACACACTCGTATCAACAATTTGCACGAGCTTCACGGGTTGAGGACGGCTCGCTTTCAAAATGTCACTCTCGCCATAGCGCCTCGCACATTCGTAATAACTTTTACGACCTTCACGGATTGAGGACGGCTCGTTTTCAAAATGTAGTTCTCGCCTCAGTGCCGCGCACACTCTTCTTCATGATTTGCACAAGCTTCACGAATTGAGGGCGGCTCGCTTTCAACATGTAGCATTCGCCTTAGCGCCGTGAACATTCGTTCCAAAAACGTTGCACGAGCTTCACGGATTGACGGCGGCTCGCTTTCAAGATGTAGCTCTCTCCTGCGCGCCGCGCGCATTCGTTTCAAAACTGTGCAAGAATTTCACGGATGCAGGGCGGCTCGCTTTCAAAACGTGTCTCTCGCCGTAGCGCCGCGCAGAATTTCAAGACCTTCACGGATTGAGGGCAGCTCGTTTTCAAAATGTGACTTTCGCCTTTGCGCCGCCACGTAGGGGTAGCAGGAGTAAAATAGGAGCAATAGAAATAGTAGTAAAACGTCGTAGTAATACTGTTTCTCCTGAACTGTTCCTTCCTATACGACTTATGTCATAGACCAATGAGCAAGTGATGTTAGTGGGCCGTCCTGGGGGGGTGGTCCACCCAAGGGTACCGCCCCCGCCCCGCACGGATCAATAACTTCGCAACGCGGAAGGGCAACAAAAATGCCCTGTCAGAGAACAGTCGTAGTAGTGATACTGTGGCACTGGGACTAACACACGCATTGGGCAACAGTTCGAAGTAGCAGTCACAAAGACTGCAATAATGGCGGTAGTAGTAGTAGTAGTAGTAGTAGTAGTAGTAGTAGTAGTAGTAGTAGTAGTAGTAGTAGTAGTAGTAGTAGTAGTAGTAGTAGTAGTAGTGGTAGTGGTAGTGGTAGTACTAGTACTAGTACTAGTACTAGTACGAGAACGAGTACGAGTACGAGTACGAGTACGAGTACTAGTAGCAGCAGCAGCAGCAGCAGCAGCAGTAGTAGTAGTAGTAGTAGTAGCAGTAGCAGTAGCAGTAGCAGTAGTAGTAGTAGTAGTAGTAGTAGTAGTAATAATGATAGGAGTAGTAGTAGGAGTAGTAGTAGTAGTCGTCGTCGTCGTCGTCGTCGTCGTCGTCGCCGTCGTCGTCGCCGTCGTCATCGTCATCGTCATCATCGTCGTCGTCATCACCATCGTCGTCGTCATCGTCGTCGTCGTTGTCGCCGTCGTCGTAGTAGCAGTAGTAGTAGTGGTAGTGGTAGCAGCAGTAGTAGTACTAATACTAGTAGTTGTAGTAGAAGTGGCAGTAGTAGTAGTAGTAGTAGTAGTAGTAGTAGAAGTAGTAGTAGAAGTAGTAGTAGTAGTAGTAGTAGCACCAGTAGTACCAGCAGTAATAATACGATTGGCTAGATTCGCAAAAGTAGTAGTAGTGGTGGTAGCAGGAGAACTAGTCGTATTATTCATATGATTCGTACTGGCAGTGGTGGTAGAGTGCTGGTGGCAGGTAGTGGTGGTAGGGTGGTGGTGGTAGGGTGGTGGTAGTAGTAGTAGTAGTGGTGGTGGCGGTGGTGGGGCGGTGGTGGTAGTAGTAGTGGTAGTAGCAGTAATAGCAATAGCAAAAGTAACCGTATCATTAGTAATATCAATACTACTACTACTACTACTACTACTACTACTACTACTACTACTACGACGACGACGACTACTACTACTACTACTACTACCACCACCACTACTACTACGACTACTACCGGACTAATACTACTACTACTACTACTACTACTACTACTACTACTACTACTACTACTACTGACTACTACTACTACTACTACTACTACTACTACTACTACTACTACTGACTACTGCTACTACTACTACTACTACTACTACTACTACTACTACTACTACTACTACTACTACTACAACTACTACGACTACTACGACTACGACTACGACTACTACTACTACTTACTACTATTACTAACTACTACACTACTACTACTACTACTACTACTACTACTACTGCTACTACTACGGCTACTACAACTACTACTACTACCTACTACTACTACTACTACTACTACTACTACTACTACTACTACTACTACTACGACTACCTACTACTACTATTACTACTACTACTACTACTACTACTACTACTACTACTACTACTACTACTACTACTACTACTACTACTACTACTACTACTACTACTACTACTACTACTACTACTACTACTACTACTACTTCTACGATTACGACTACTACGATTACTGCTACTACTACTACTACTACTAGGGCTACTACTACGACTACTACTACTACTACTGCTACGACTACTACAAATACTACTTCTACTACTAGTACGGCTACTATTCTTACTTCTACTACTACAACTACTACTACTACTACTACTACTACTACTACTACTACTACTACTACTGCTACTACTACTACTAATACTACTACTACTTACTACTACTACTACTAACTACTACTACTAATATACTACTACTACTACTACTACTACTACTATAGTACGACTACTAACTACTACTACGACTAGACTACTACTACTACTACTTACTACGACTACTACCACCACCACTACTACTACTACTACTACTACTACTACTACTACTACTACTAC